GACCAAATTATTAGGATGAGGCACATGGGCTACTAACAGCTTACTACACAACATACACTTTGTATTACTTTCTTAACTACAGTATACATATATCCCTGGCATATTACATAATTTATGCAGCAGCATACAAGACATTTTTGGACTCACCTTGTTGTGCTGCGCTAACTTGAACAGGAAGGTGGTGCGGTGGTCCTTCTTGTCGGCAAATTGAATCATCAAACTTTGTCATTAAAGTCTGGCATTCTCTGGATTTGTGGTGCTTTCAAGACAACTGGGACCTCTGAAAAAAACAAGGTTGAATAATGACATCAGTGATCTTCAGGTCGGAGCTCTAGAAAGAGGCCCGAAATTCCCGACTTGGAATTCCGAGTAGTCATCATCATGAATCAAGTCGACAATCTACTGGCAAATCCTTTTCAAGCATTGTCATATGCAGAGAAATTATAGATAAAACGTATCGGTTTCTCATCGGCCATTGGACATAAACAAGTTGGAAATCGCAAATTCAACAATGAGTGGTTTGGAAGGAATCAGTGGTGTCGTAGTAAATATATAATGTTATAGCTTGGTCTGACTAAAATCTTGTGCATGACCCATTTTGTGTTGGGCCTTTGTATTCAATACAATGCACAAAAGACTTCTATCTTGTCAGCCTTATCAGCAGGTGGCTAAGGACAACACCCACGCCATAGGTCTCTCAGTTCTTCCAACTCACGAGTTCTTGCTCTGAGGACACACACACACACACCCCCACACACACACACACATACACACACACACACACACACACACACACACACACACACACACACACACACACATACACACACACACACATACACACACACACACATACACACACACACACACACACACATACACACACAAACACACACACACACAAAAAACCCCTTCTCTTAGGCTGAACATCTGAAGACAGAGAACCCGACTCAGAGCCAATGCAACAGTGACACTAGCCTGGAGGTGACCTCGCCCAACTCATCAGGACCAATCAGAAGATCAGAACGACTAGATTCAACCTACTTCATTTTATTGTATAAAATGTCAGCACACAATGTTTAGGGGCTCTCTCTCAGATATCTCCCTACGAGATTGACGAACGGGTCCGTGCACGCTATTTACAGATATCTTTACCTCTGAATAAACTGCCTTATATTATACAATTATCCACCTTGTCCAAAAGTCTCTACTTGGTCTCCGTTCTCCAGTAAACTTGTGTTCATCAACAGTGGCTAACTGCAAGCATTGCAAAGCAATCACTAGCCTGCTATTCAGTGGAGTGGCTGTGTGGTTTTTTTCTGAGTTCCCACCATAAATCCAGAGAATGCCAGACTTTGATGACAAAATCTGCCCACGAAGGAACGCCGCGCCACCTTCCTGTTTTACTGAGCACAGCACAACACAACAAGGTGAGTCCAAAAATGTCTTACATGCTGCTGCATAAATGATGTAATATGCAAGGGAGATATGTATACTGTAGCTAAGAAAGCAATGCTAAGTGTATGTTGTGTAGTAAGCTGTTAGTAGACCATGTGCATCACCCAAATAATTGGGTATATTTTCACCAATGCGGTATTGTAAACACATCGTTCGTGGCCGGTGTGTGCTTGTTTGCAGACTTTTTTTTGTACAACTTTGACAGTGCTACTGATAGTAGTGGTGGAGCTTGGTTTGCACGTGCAAATTCAGCACACACAACATTCTATAATAGAATTGTGTTATTTGACGTGTCAAATGAAAAGTTTATTTAACGCGTCAAATAGTGTTATTTGACGTGTATCTGTTTTGACACGCAAAGACCCAAACGGCGTTCCAAGTGCCTCATCCTAATAATTTCGTCTGTTTTCACCTATTAATTTCGCCTACTGTTCTGATTTGGTGGTGCACATTGTCAAAGTTGCGTCAATTCAAATCTGGTATTAGGAACAAAAGAGGTCAACACGACTTCTAAGGTTTACTAGTTATTTTAATTAATGCAAAAACCTTCAATGGTAAATATGATGTTTCGTATATACGGGTTCTCTGATATGCCTCGCAGGACATTCCAGACAACTAACTCATTGTTTTCAGAAACAATACCCAAATACCCTGACAGAAAGTTTCCCCCTTCTCTGCTGGCCAATTAGAGTAAAGACTTGAGCGTGGTTTAGAGTTTCTCAGCCAATCCTAGGTTCATGGGGTTGGTCTCATCTCCTCGGTGTCATTTGTTGCACACTACAGCCAGGCACAAGATTATCACAACAACCCATCATAGTGAGAAGAGCCAGCTCCCTTAGACATCATTCCTATGTCAAAGGAAGACTTACAGCTCACAAAGAACCATTATAGTCTAGCATTTGAAGACACAATCCTTATCTTATTATACACACTAAAACAGACCTTCACATCAATCACAGCCTTGCCAGGTGTCACAGCCTACATTAGCCCAGTCAAGAATGCATTCTTTCTAAGTTAGTCATCCTATCAGTTTAGAAGAATAATAAATCCCTAATAATCCCCCTTTTCACACCACATAAGGTGTGATTCAAAAATAAGAAAACACAGATCTTCATTTATTATAATACAAAACAAACAAAAAATCACACTTTTATTAATAGGCCATAATGCTACTAAAAATAAAACCCTCAGTCCATCTGTACCCAACTTGCCAATTATTACCAGTCAAAGAATATCAAACCATTTAACACAGTATTAATAGAACACAAAACACAGAACCATTAAAACATAAAATACAAACAGAGAATTACATTTTGACTCCCTCCTGACACCCTCTAGGGTGTGATTCCAAAAATGTGAAAGGGAAAATTTAAGATTCCCTCTGTTGACACCATTTATGGTGTCACTCCAAATAACCGTTTGAACAGAATATAATCGACCCTGAGTATAACAGGATATAGAAATTAAATCACATCAAAAAATTAGTAAACAAAAAATAATTCTAACCCTCTATTTCTCCCCTACACCTAACATGTACTGGGTTGGCTACCAGCCACCCAGGAATCCTTTACTCTCACCTCAGGAGGAATAAACATTCACAGTGGTTAGTAAAAACACAAGGTAATAAATGATCAAAAACTGAAATTAAATGCGTGTATATATTTTACTAGGCAAACCATGGATCATCCATCTTGGTCTCAGAGTCAGTGGCAGAGTCACCCGCAACTTCCTGGGCTGGCACCAACGGCATCACTCCTGACACCCGCACCACTCCTACCACTGACTTCCTGAGACAGGGAATGATACAAGCAGCACAACACATCAACAATAAAAACACAATTACTAGGGTCAGAAATCCAGTAACCACCATAGAAGAATACTTACCGAACCAGTCACTTAACCAGGAGAACAGCCCACCACTCCCCACTCCAGCCATGCTCTTCATTTCTGCTGACAACCTATCCAGGCCAACTAGGGCCTTTGTGATGCTCCCGTCCGGGCTAGTATTGTTAGGAATAAACGTACAGCATTGTTCCCCAAACATTTTACATACACCCCCTTGGTTAGCAAGCAACATGTCAAGTGCTAGTCTATTTTGCCTAGCCACCCTAGAGGTGGCCTCTAGTTGTTCCGACATTCCAGTCAGGGCAGTGCGTGTATAGTTAACAAATCGCTGTTGGTTATAATAGATGTAATTTATCCAAGATCGCTGTTTAGCAGCATCTATGGCAGGTCCTATGATTGGCAACAAATGCCACAACCCATCATTCCTGCTGAGTGCCTGGAACTGTAATGGTACTCCCACAGGCACCCCCAACAGGTTAGAGTGGATCTCCTCTTCTGTTGACCATGGGGCACTACGTCTCCCCCGCCTCATTCTCTCTCTGTCTGGGGCTAGCTGGGCGATGCCCAAAAGTTGGTCTGAGGAAACATCAATAATGGTCAGAGGTATAATCAAACTGGCTAATGCACACGTGCCCTGCCAGTCCCCCTTTAGAATCGGGGTAAGTATTCTATTTGGTCCACAGATCCACCACACATCAGCCACCCCTTTTGTCTGGGTTTTACCCTCTACTGGCCAAGTGCTGTTCATGGTTACATTCATAGCACAGTCCCCTGGTGGTAGCCTACCATAGTTAACACCCTTACCTGTTCCAGTAATACAACTGTAATTACCTCCATAAGCCTGAACTCCTGCAGGTGCCTTTTGTGGGAGAACCTCATGGAAAATCATACTTAGAGTTTTGCACAGGGTGGTGGTTGGCAGTGAATGGTAAAACTCTTCCAATATGCACTGCCATCCTGCCCCTTCTCCTAAAGCGAATGGGTGGGTTGCCAAACCAGGTCTTGCATGCCCACAGATAACACAATTCTGCCTAACCAGTGTCCTAGCCGTATACCTCATGTATGCCAACCACATATTTTCTTTCCCTTCATAACCAGTTTCTGTCCCCAATTGGTCGCTGTCCGTTATATCCCTAACATTAATCACCCGAACGGGGTTTGGTACCTTAGTGGATTGAAGCTGAGCTGGTCCTGGAGTGGTGATGTGATTCAACTGGGTCTGTCTCTCCCCAGCTGCAGGTTTGGGTGTGACCACGATGGTGAACACACCCATGGTGTCTGGTCCGGATCGTACTGCTGCTAAGGTGTACACACCTGCGTCTGTAAGTTTAATGTCTTGGATGGTTAGTAGGATTTCATCACCTTTACATGCACCCCCTTTTGACCCCTGCACACCCCTTATCATTGAAAACCTAGCTGCCTTAGAAGCATCTCCTAATACATATGGATAGCCTCTACGCCATTCCCAGAAGGTGCCAACATTTGTAATCATAAAATCCCAATATGGACACCACTTTCCCCCACACAGATAAGTACCTCTCTTTAACACATGGGGATTCATTTTGTTACAGTTTTCCTTCTGGTTCCAATTGCAACCAGTGTCCCCAATTCCACTAGCCCTGTTCCTCCATGACCAGATCTTACATGGTTCTAGGGACATCACTTGAGATTCCCCTTCCTGTAAGGTAATGACTATATTATGATACTGACTGGATGTCACTGTTCCCCATAGGGCCAGCCCCGCTAATAACCATAACATCCTCCCCGTCTGCAGCCAAGTCCTGTTGTACTTGATCTAGAGTTCTTCCTGGAACTATATCTTTGGCACAATGTGTTCTGTGGTACCATACGTCCTTCTTACTCGTGTTTACCCTCAGCGAGTGACTTGATACCTCTTTCACCTGAAAAGGCCCTTCCCACCTTGGCTCCGTCCACTTCCTGGAATGCACCTTCACTCTCACCCAATCTCCCACCAGGATGTCTCTGTTGTCGTCTGTGGTTTCAACAGCAGGAGTGCGCACTTCCACCACCTGTTTAGACAATCTTTCAACAAGAGAAATTAGTGCCTGCATGTAGTCTGTATATCTAATTTTTGCAATATCTAGCCTAGGCATACTAAGATTATCTGCTGGTGGCCCTGGCATTCTGCGTCCTGTCATTAGCTCATGTGGAGTCAAGTGGGTATCAGACCCAGGTGAATTTCTCATTGACATTAGAGCGAGGGGTAGGGCATCTACCCATTTCAGTTTAGTTCCGGCCATGATTTTGGCCATTTTACGCTTCAGCGTTTGGTTAGCTCTTTCTACGAGTCCCTGCGATTGGGGGTGGTATACTGACCCAAACTTGTGGGTGATTCCTAGGGCCTGCTCTACCTCCCTTAGGTGTTTATTCTTGAAATGGGTACCGTTGTCAGAACGGACCATTCGCGGGACCCCGAACCTTGGAATGAGGTCTCGCCTCAGCCACTTAATCACGGCCTTTGCGTCTTCTCTTGCTGTGGGGATGGCTTCCACCCATCTGGTAAATCTGTCCACCATTACTAACAGGTACCTTTTTCCTTCCACTTTGTTGTCTTGTCCCATGTCCGTGAAATCTATGCATATGTCTTGAAATGGTGCATCAGGTATTGGGAAGCTGCCTATCACTGCTCCAAGTGACACTTTGTTGTTGTATTGTTTGCACACTTCACAGCTCTCTGATGTCTCTCTTGCCATGTCCAACATATGTGGGTGCCACCATGCTTTCTCAACTGATTTTGCGACCCTTTTCCATCCTCCATGAGCCTTCTCATGCTCTTCCCTTAAGATTGATCTGAGGAGTTTTGCAGGTCCCACTGTTTTTCCTGTGTGAGATCTCCAGATCCCATGATGGTCTTGCCTTGCTCCCTGTCTGCTCCATACGTTCTGTTCGTAGGCGCCTGCTGCTTCTTGCAACTGTCTTACTGTGTCTGTCGTCAGCTCCTCCTGTCCTTGAGTGGCTCGTTGCACCATCTGCTGGGCATTGTATCCTCCTGCGTCTTTTGCTGCTTGATCAGCCCGATCATTTCCTTCACGCACTCTGGTGCTTTCTCTGCTGTGACCTTTGCACTTCATTATTGCCAGTCGTTTGGGAAGCTGGATTGCATCAATTAACTTCTGTACTTCAATCTTGTGTTTGATGGGCTCATTTGAGCTGGTCACAAATCCTCTCCTCAACCACTGTGGTCCATCAATGTGTGCAATCCCATGTGCATAGGCAGAGTCCGTGTAGATGTCCACATTCTTTCCTTCACTTAGTTGTAGAGCTCTCCTCAACGCCCTAAGTTCAGCTAGCTGTGCTGAGGCTTCATTGGGACCAAGTTTCTCTGCTTCCATTACTTCATGTCCTCCTTCTGTGTCTTGTTTCACCACAGCATAGGCAGCAGTGTTTCCTTCCTTTGGGTCCTTTGACCTGTAGCAGCATCCATCAGTGAACAGGGTGATTTTGTTCCCCTCCAAGGGTGAGTTTTGCAAGTCCATTCGGACTTTAATCTGTTTGGCTGCTCTATCCTCACAGACATGTGGTTCTCCAAGACCCATACCATCGGTCATATTGGTTGCTGTTGTCACATATGTAATGTGCTTTGCAGTGATGGCCTTTGTTATGCTGGATTTTCTTTTACTGGACAGTGTGAAAAGTTTGGAGCCTATAAAAGCAGTCACCCCATGATCTGTATTGATTTCAAGTGGATGTCTCATCACAATGTGGGCTGTTTTACCTATAGCTTTTGCAATGGCAGCCATGTGTCTGGCACAGTCAGTCTGTCCTGTTTCAATGTTGTCCAGTTTCGCGCTATAGTAGTGTAACACTCTTCTTTCCCCCTTTTGTTTCTGATACAGGATGGAATGTACATAACCATCCTGCTCAGAAACATCCAAACAGAATGGCGTGGTGTAATCGGGTAAGGACAGTGCTTCAGCCTGTGCCAGCGTCTGTTTGAGTTGGATTAAAGCTGCCTCTGCTTCTGGTGTCCACTTAAGGACTGCCGTGAGGTTTCTGTTTCCTGCTTCTCTCAAGATTGCCCGCAGTGGTTCCACTTTAAGACAGTATTCTGGCACGTGCGTTCTGCTATATCCAGTAAGGCCAAGAAATGACAAAAGGTGTTGTACAGTAGTAGGTTTGGGATGTTCCAAGATGGAGGTCCTCTGAGCCACAGACACAGCTTGTCCCTTCCCTGACAGCACTCTTCCCAGGAACTGGACACTTCTCCGACAGCACTGCACTTTCTCTTTCTTTACCTTGTATCCCTTTTTGGCCACCAACAGGAGAAGGGACTTGGTGGCCTGCAAACAAGACTCAGCAGTGGGTGCTGCCAACAGAAGATCATCAACGTATTGGAGTAGTGTCACCCCCTCAGGTAATGTTAGTTCTTCCAAGTGGCTCTTCAGGATAGCGTTGAAGATTCCTGGGGAATCACGGTAGCCTTGTGGAAGTCGGGAATACGTAAATTGCTGCCCTCTATAGGTAAATGTAAAAAGTGGTTGGGACTCTGGATGTAATGGGATGCAGAAAAATGCATTGGCGAGATCCACTACTGTAAACCAATCTTGGGTGGGTGAAATGTTCTGTAAGGCCAGATATGGGTCTGGTACAGGTCGAACATCTGGTACAGTCACTTCGTTGATTGGTCTGAAGTCCTGCACCATCCTCCATTTCCCAGTGTCACCTTTCTTTACTGGAAGGATGGGTGTATTCCACACAGAACATGTTGGATATATAACCTGTCCTTTTTGGAGTCCTGATATCGTAGGCTCAATACCCCTCGTCTTCTCTTCACTGAGAGGGTATTGAGATTTGTGAACTGGGATAGTGTGTTCACTTTCTTTTCGAATGGAGACAACCACTGGTTCTACATCAACCAGCCCCACATCTTCAGCACTTGTTGTCCACAGTTCCTCTGGTAGTTGATTGAAAATGTTAGGAGTATCCGGATGATCAGTCATCTCCCTGCCATGGTAACGTGATCTCCTCACAACCTCTGGTTTCGACACATCATCCACATTGAGTTTAATTCTCCATATTTGATTTCCCTCAAGGAATGCGCTTTCCACTTTGTAACAAGAGGTTTTGTTCCACCGTAGGCAACTTGCTGCCTTTACCGCTGGTCCCAGAGATCTTGCCTCATATCCAAATCCCACGAGAAGGGTAACATGCGGCACAGAATCATTAGGAAGAGCAAACCATTTGTCTGTGAGCACCACGTCTCCATCCATGACCATGCAGCTGGTAGCCACTCCTTCTTTGAGTATGTACATATGATTGCTGGTCACAATCGGGCGCCTATCGTCCATTTCCTCCTCCCAGGCTTCATCATATGCTTCATCCAAGTCCCTGGTATAGTTCATTGTCATGTGCGGAGGGTCCTCAGGTGGATAGTATGCATTTAAGGTCTGTATCCAGGCCTTCCATAGTTGGAACTCTCTGCATACTCGGGGAGCATCAGGGTCAGTATCCATGAGCTTCAGCCAGTAAACATATGCTTCCTCCTCATCCTCAGTTAGGTGTGTTCCCACATATAGCATGTGAGGGGGGTCGGAGAGTTTTTTCATGATTACTGGCATGAGATCATCTATGGGCGTGATGGATGCATGTAAACCCTCCTGGTTACAATAGATACTACATCCCAGTTTGGAAAGCAGGTCCCTCCCCATGAGCCCCATTGAGCATTCCGGGTTGTATAGAAACTGATGGGTAACCTGTTGGTCATCCCATACAACCTCCAATGGAACTGTGTATGGCTTTCTCATAATAGCCCCAGAAACCCCAGAGAAAGCTTGTGTTTTTGTAGTGAGTTGATATGTTGCTTGTACAGAAGACCATGTACATCCTGTATCAATCAGCATATTATGTTGTCTTCCTCCAATCAAACATGTCACTATCGGCTCTGAACCTGGTGGGAAAGTGTAAATGTTGGTGGCGGGATCCTTATGGGTTTCTGGGCAGCTTCATTGGTAATTGTGTTCATTACCCAGCCATGACATGCTGGGCAGGAAGGCAGCGTTAGGCACTGCTGGGTCTTGGTTTTGGTTCTGCTGTTGTGGTGGTTGGTGCTGCTGGACTGGCATTCCTCCTCCTTGCCAGTTTCCCCATCCTTGTTGGTATCTCGGTACTTGTCTTCTGGACTGTCCCATGTAACCCCTCCCTCTTTGTTGTCCCTGTCTTGGGAGATGACAGTGTCTTGCCAGGTGTCCATGCATCCCACAGTTAAAACACCCTTGTTCAGCGTATCTAGGGGTGTATCCCTGTTGTCGTGGTGGTATATAGGATTGCTGGTATGCGGGTGTACCATATCCAGGAGGACCAGAAGGTGCCATCATTCCCGTCATTGCCTGTATTACAGCAGTAACTGCAGCAGTAGTATCATTTCCGGGTGCAGGAGTGGTAGGATTAGATGTTGGGGTACTGGTTACCACCATTTGTTTTCCCGGCTTGTCCTCTGTCAATTGCTTCTTCAGAACCTTTTTCTGAAGTTGTTTGAGTTCATCCTCTTCCTTTCGCTTACCCTCTCTCCATCGTTCCACATGGTGTTGTGCTATCTCGGTAAATTCCGGAATTGATTTTGCGGTGATTGCCACAACTTTTTCACATTCAGCTCGAGCCTGATCCGGGAGTCCCCCCAAGCAGTTTGTCAGGAAGAGGTGTTTCATGGTGTCTTTTCCTGGTTCTTCATTCCATGCTTGCCTCCAGAGGCACTTAGCCCTCTTCATATATGCAGGTATGGTTTCATCGTCATTCAATATCAGTGTTCTCATCAGTTCGGGTCTGGCCTGGGTAGGATACTTCCTCCTTATGACATCCCATATGTCACTGCGGTGGGTGTCAAATCTTGTAGCCGAACCCACTTGCCCTCTCAGTCCCCCAGAGGTCATTATCTCTCTGCATTCCTGGTCTCCCATACACCTGTTCATTACAGTAACCATATCACCTATGGTGAGTTCATCCGCTGCTGTGAGACTCTCAAAAGACTTCACCCATCTGTGTCCAGATTCTTCAGGTTGGGGGAGACTGTCCACCAGTGTCTGTATGTCTCTGTGGGACCATGGCTTATAAACTGAGACCCCCCCTGGGGTCTCCCTCAACGGGTACTGCCCCCCTTTGTGTCCTTCTCTAGAATGGGCCCTGGCTCGGGTATGGTATGCGGGTCCACCATTATTGTCCCATATGTCTCCATCAAAAGCTCCACATATGAGTTTTTGTTGTTTCCCTCTTTCCTCCTCACTCTCTTCCCCGTCTCTGAGATCAATACAATGTCCCCTTACTGGTGAGCGTTCACTTTCACTTCCGTTCTTGTTCGCTTCGAGCTCCATTTTTAACTTTTTCAATTGTGCTTCCTGGTGTCGTACTTCCTCTTTTATCATCTTCAACTCTTCCAGTCGTTCTTCATCTCTCTGTCTCTCAAGTCTCTCTCTCCTTTCCCCTTCTACAGCATCCCCGTTTCGTTGCCACTCCCCCTGGGCTAGACCACCCCTTATGTTTCCTCCAGTTAGGCTCATTCTCTCTTCCTTCTCACTCTCACTGTCTCCGTCAATACTCCCTCCTCCTTCTGTTCCGCCTCTGTTCCCCGTCTCTCCCTCAATTCTACTCAGTTCAAACACTCCTTTTTCTAGCGCTCTTGCAGCTTTTAGAAGTACATCCACTTCTCCCCTTCTGTCAGTCATATCGCTCTTTCTGACCCACATTCCTTCTTCTCCCTCATCTGTCCTTTGTTGATAGTGGACTTTTCCCGCTATATCCAGAACCGGAGCCATTGTTTTTGGGTGGTCTTCATATGGTGGTGGCGCTGTTGGTAAGGGTGGGTATAAACGGGTCCTTTCCTTTTGTCCTGTTTTCTCCGCATACAGTTTCCTCAATTTTCCAAGCATTGCTAGGCCAATCCTCTCCTTTAGCTTTGCTTTCTCCATTGCGTCTTTAATTTTGCCACTGCGGGGCTCTCCTTCACTTTTCCATTCGCCTTCTGCTTTCTGGGTTTTCCGTTTCAACGTCTCCAGTATTCTCCCTGGTTCGCCTTCTACAGGCACTCCATCGGGGGATAGTATATAACCATCGTCTATCCATACTCTATAAAGTTTTTCCCCCCTCCTGCTCCATTCTTTTCCTCCGTTTGTTTCAAGTGTGGATTTTAGAGCCTTCAATATTCTTTCCGCTTCTCCGCTGGTAGTCATGTTTTTTTTTTTTTTTTTTTTTAATTTGTAATATTCATCCGCTATTTAGTTATTAAAAGTACATCTATCTATTATTCCCACCTAATTAGTTAAACTCGGCGCCAGGTTATTTCAACCTTAATTGCTTGAAAGCAGTATTCTTTCAGTGCCACACATCAAATGGTAAATTGAAGGAATAAACCCAAGTGTTTCAATTATTTAACCAATGTGGCGTTACATCAAATTAAACGCCACACATCAATTGGTAACTTGAACGAATAAACCCACGTTTTACAATTATTTAACCAATGTGGCGATACATCAAATTAAACGCCACACATCAATTGGTAACTTGAACGAATAAACCCACGTTTTACAATTATTTAACCAATGTGGCGATACATCAAATTAAACGCCACACATCAATTGGTAACTTGAACGAATAAACCCACGTTTTACAATTATTTAACCAATGTGGCGATACATCAAATTAAACGCCACACATCAATTGGTAACTTGAACGAATAAACCCACGTTTTACAATTATTTAACCAATGTGGCGATACATCAAATTAAACGCCACACATCAATTGGTAACTTGAACGAATAAACCCAAGTTTTTCAATTATTTAACCAATGTGGCGATACATCAAATTAAACGCCACACATCAATTGGTAACTTGAACGAATAAACCCAAGTTTTTCAATTATTTAACCAATGTGGCGATACATCAAATTAAACGCCACACATATCACTTCAATTTACTTATTTAAAACCAGTATTAGCTATGTCAAACATCAAATGATATATTTCAAATATATCAGTTCAAACGCTTTAGTTCAGTCACACTCATTCTTAACTTTTCATTTCATGTTTTCGATTGTTACTGACGGGTTATATGGTTTGAGTAACCACAAATCCAACATTTATTCCCAAATTATACCGTTTGGTCAGCCACAATCGTCTTTTGATTCCCAATTTGTTTTCTATCAAGGTATACAGGTTTATCATTCACACTTTCATGCATCCGACAACACTCGCACTGTCTAACTTTTATAGTACCTCTTATGGGTGTTTTTTGTTAACGCACACTTTAAACTTTAGTTCCTAATTGCATTTCTCATTATTTACTGTTTTAAAATATTCTTTGTATTCACAGTCAAAAATGGTACACAGTTAAACGTAGTATACAGTTATCACCCAGCAAAAATAGTGCACAGTTATCGCCCTCACTCACAATACACAGTCATAATCCTATCATACAGTCAAATATGTCACACAGTCATCAATTACACCCATGTTCCACACACAATCTATTTGGGCACACAGCCACGTCTATTTTATTCAAGACACTGTGCTGAACCTAGCCGCAACCCTTAGTTACGGACCTTGCCAGTCACCAGTATTACAGCCGCGTCTATTTTATTCAAAACACTGTGCTGAACCTAGCCGCAACCCTTAGTTACGGACCTTGCCAGTCACCAGTATTACAGCCGCGTCTATTTTATTCAAAACACTGTGCTGAACCTAGCCGCAACCCTTAGTTACGGACCTTGCCAGTCACCAGTATTATCTAAAATTTCCCGAACCTTAGCCGTATCCTTGTATTTACGGACCTTGCCGGTGTAATTCTTCGAACCTAGTCGTACTGTCGTAGTTACGAACCTTGTCGATAGCAATTACTTAGCCAATTATTCCCTGTATCTTCGAACCTAGCCGTACCCTCCGCAGTTACGGACCTTGCCGATAGATGTCAGTATTTTCTCCGAACCTAGCCGTACCCTTGTAGTTACGGACCTTGCCGATAGAACAAATACTCTCTAGTACCATGGTTTTTTAAACATCACATTTAGCAAAGGTTTGCATGTCACAATATTGTGCTTGTCTACTCATAATAGTTTCATAATTTAGTTCACTTACATCAGACAGTTGTTTCACAAAATTAATTTGAATAAAGCCAATTTGCAGATTTTCAGTTATTTAACAATAGGCATCTGCTTACCTTTAATTTTGTCCGGACTTTTTGTGAAACACAGTCCAATGAAAGAGATGACCAATGGGCCGGAAAGTATCCAGCGAAGTCCCTTCTACCAGATCACGACGGGTATCACCAATTGTCAAAGTTGCGTCAATTCAAATCTGGTATTAGGAACAAAAGAGGTCAACACGACTTCTAAGGTTTACTAGTTATTTTAATTAATGCAAAAACCTTCAATGGTAAATATGATGTTTCGTATATACGGGTTCTCTGATATGCCTCGCAGGACATTCCAGACAACTAACTCATTGTTTTCAGAAACAATACCCAAATACCCTGACAGAAAGTTTCCCCCTTCTCTGCTGGCCAATTAGAGTAAAGACTTGAGCGTGGTTTAGAGTT